AGGGCTTAATATTGTGACTTACAGCTTATTTTCAATATCAGTACTATGCCGAAAAAACTGATTATGTATGCCATAAAGACTATTCATTAGTGCAATGGAGATATTTTTTGAAGAAATCATTTGTAGCCTTCTAAAGTACAAATGAATATTCTAGCAGTTATTGACATAAGGAAAGATTCAAAAGTACTTTTTTTTAATAATAAAAAAATTAAAAAAAGTTACATGTTCATTGATTATATTGTAACAATATCTTGTGAAAGTTACTAAACGTTATTACATACTTGTACTTAAATACAAATACATATGAATAAAGTAATATACCATACAATCAATGTTAATCATTGTGTATAAGCCATCAGTCACGATTGTCGATGCTATATCAATACAAATAACATTTTTATATTCTGTATTTACTAGAAATCATAAAATGTTGTAAAAACTGCTGCAAAATGCAGAATCCAGAACACGATAATGAAACGAAACAAAATCGTAAGCAACGATATACACCGACAGAACATATGTTCAAACTATATTTGTTGACTATACGGTATGGATTTTGCTCATTGTTGACGACCGAAGTGACGTATATATGCACACGTAAAAAAGACTGTGGTTATCGTTTGTTGCTGTCATGTTTATTTTTTGTTTATTGTTTTGTACATAAATGATACTAAATTGCATGCCTATTATTACATATGATTGGATTTCTTTTATCTAAACTATGACTCACAGGAAAAATACAACTCACGGTCTCTGTTGTTAATAGCATTCGTTTATGACATTTGTACCCGAAAATGGCTTTAGTCGGTGTTCCCTATAAATGATGCTACCTTAACGCAATTATGGACAGTTCCCCCTAGCGCCAATTCTGTAAATTCCGTCCACTGGTTCTCGAATGTTACATTACCGAATGACACTTATCACCCACTGTATACTCAGATGGGCAACACGACGGGTGCAACATGTGGAGAAGGATGTTCAAACTCTTTTAGAGCACTAGCGATCCCCCTTCAGAAAAACATGTAAGAGTTGAGTTACCTCGCACAGGTTTGTACTTTTATGGAAAAATTGTAATTAAATATGCGCAGAAAAATATTATACAAGTATTTTTTTTAATTTGTTGTGTAGGACGTTTGACAAGTCATCTATTTAACTAACAAACAAACACGTAATTTTCAATCAGATGATAAAAGTGCATCGTCGATGAAAGACTGCAGTATAGCACGTGCATTACATTTTCGGTCACAAGCTGATGTTGTACATAAAACTGGAAGAGAACATACAAAGAGATCAAACAGAGACAATAAAAAGTCGATGAAAAACCCACTTTGCAAGAAAATACGACGAAAAGAAAACACGGGTGCATGCCACATTACATATTGAAATAAGGATTGAGCAACACGAACCCTACCAAAAATCGGGGGTTAAATCAGGAGCTCCCGAAAGGTACATGTAAGCAGTTGAACAAAAAACGACGAAAAGACAAACAATACACTAAACACAGCATAGAATACTAATGTCTAAACTACACGTACCCAATCAGAAACCTGGGGCGTTATCAGTTGCTCCAGACGGGTAAGCAGATCCTGTCCTACATGTGACACCCATTGCGTTGCTCATTTAAGTACAAACCCAGTGATAAGTCAAAACCTAATGGCGACCAACATAATTTGTGAAGTGACTTTTATCAGCATAACATGTACTTTCTTCAATCGTTGCTTGGTTAATTAAAATGAACACTCTTGTTAGTGCAATAGCATATATTTTCAACTTAGAAACGTAACACCATTGACTGGAATAGATGGTATGATAACAAGATGACTATAGGAAAACTGTAAGAGTAGTATACGTCACAGTACATGTCTTGTTTACTTTTTATGTTGATTATTTCTAGATTATACCAGTACTGGATCAGAACGAGAGGCGGAAGATACCAAAGGGATATTTCAACTCGTGAGCAGATTACAAACTGACAAAAAAATCTTAAAAATTTGTAATTGTATAGTGATCGAGATTGCATATTCATTTAATACTCGATGTAGGATAGTATTTACCAATATCCGTGACTTAACCTGATTATAACAAAACAAAAACAATCAATATGCTAAAGTAAAGATCGACATTCTAAAATAATATTGTGAAATACTACTCTCTAATTCCTTGGCTGGTAAACTGTTAGTCACAGAGGGTATCATAAGCCCAGTGGCATGAAAATTCGGGTATCGTTATCTTGAAAACTGCTTAATATATAAAAATTTCAAGTCATTTTAATGTATGGAATGTATGTCCCTCGAACATATCTCTGACTCCTTGTCCGTACATGCTTATCTTGTGCTTTTTTTAAATCAGCACGTCAGTGTTTGTATTACGTTTTGGATTTCTAATACCTGGCCCTATGCATCATTAAGTAGACATTAATTGTCAAAACGCAAATCTGGTTAAATCATTCTGGATAATTTTAAATCTCGATCTTTCTCTGAAATTAGTTTGATCAAAACCTTTGATTTTTCAACCCTTTATACCACCAATCCCCATGTGAAACTAAAATATCGTGTAAAAGAAATAATCCCCAATGCTTTTCAAAATAAAAATGGTAACATACGCTATATAGTTATTGCTTAAGGTTACCAATCAGAAAATATAGTGAACAAAAAGATATAACATGCTGCACCGAGGAACAAGTGATTAGTATACTGGAGTTTCTTATTGACAGCATATTTGTTGAGTTTGGAGGTAGATTTTTTCCAACAAATTGTCGGCACGATAAAGATGGAAACGAACTGTGCGCTTCTCCTTGCAGACCTCTTCTTGTTTTCATATGAGTCGGAGTTCCTTCAGACACTTCTCAAAAACAAGATAATAAAAAAAGCAAGATCATTTAATTTCACATTCAGATATATTGATGATGTTCTTTCCATTAAAAAATCCATCTTTTTTTATTGTGTTCCATTATCATATCCTTCAGAACTAGAAGAAACAACAGACACAGCTTCTTCCGCCTTATTTTTAGACTTATACCTCGAATAAAGTGGTCAGCTCAGTACAAGGATCTGTGACAAACGAGATGATTTTAATTTTGAAATTATAAATCCCCCACCCACCCCCACCTTAGGAGCAATATATCAACTTCACCTGCATATGGGATAAACGTTTTCCAACTCATGCAGTATTCAAGAGCTTGCAGCTGCTACTCGGACTTTATAAAACGTCACCAGTGTCTGAGTAGAAAGTTGATCATGCTATGGTCATTTTTTGCATTCTTGTTTTTCATTATTGCTTATGTGCTTTGTCTATGGAGTGTCTATATACCATTTTGTTTTTCTTTGTTGACCGTTTGTTTGTTTTTATTATAAGATTAGATTATAATACAGTGTTAACTGCTGTACCCATATTTTCGGCATTTGTACATATTATGTCTGTTTGTTTTGCTCACACATTGTTGTCAATACAACGCAATTGTATGCGACTATCATATTAGTGAGAGGTTTAGCAAGCTATAAAACCAGGTCTATTTCATCATTTTTTACATAAGGACATACCTGTACCAAGTCAGTAATATTACAATTGTTTCCATTCGTTTGGTGTGATTGAGGTTTTGATTTTGCCATTTGATAAGGGACTTTCTGTTTTAAATTATCCTTTTTTTTTTCTTTTTTTTTTTTTTTTTTTTTTTAAATTCAATATAATTTTATCTGAAATGTACATTTGTTAGAGATACATAAAGTACCGGTACCTTATCCAGGCCTCGTTAACGTTAGTATATGGCATTTTAGTGATAAGGTTAGTAATTGTTAGTACACAATATACAGTTTTGTTAATAAATAATGTGTAACAAAATAAAAAGAAATTAATATGATATATTATAAATCTTAGTCAAGAAGATAAATTAAATTTTTCTGCAACCAAATTGTAGAAGTTTTTATATTTGCCTTGTTTATTTGTCAATATTTCGTAATGTTGGAGAAGTTCATTTTTAAAAATTTCAAACACATTAATTTGTTTTGTTTTCTGCTCGGATATATAATATACTTTATATATAGTAAAAAGTATGGTTGTTAAAAAATCGTTGATATTGTAATAATTTGTATCGTTTATCTTGTATCCATACAAAAGTGATACAAGTGATATTATATGATGTCCTATTTAAAGTTTGTCTAGTATTAGTTTCATTTGATCCCAAAATAATTTCAGATATTTGCATGTCAGAAAGTAATGTTCATAATCTTCAATAACATTACATATATTACATAAAGGAGTTTTAGTTATATTCCAAGAGAAAAATAATTGTTTGGTTGGTAAAATGTAATGTAGAAATTTACATCTTAACATTCTCAATTTATTATCTTGGATATAGTTAAAGATAAAGTACAACACTTGTTCTCTTTTCCTTGTATTGTTATCTAAATTTAGAATTCTGTCCCATTTTTGAAATCCTATTGCTTTCTCATAATATATTATTTAAAAGCGAGATGTAGATATCTTTCGAGGAAAATGTTTTTATTGGTACCATTTTTCCTTCTCTATCTTTGAATTTAAATTCGGAGTCGGTAGCGACTTTTGTTTTAATTGATTCTTCTTTTATTAGCTCTTGTAACCACTGTTTTGGTATTGCTTTCATCAATTTAGTATATTCCGAAAACCAATTAGCATGGCAAGATAGTTTATCTAAAATCTTATTTTGATTAATTTGTCCTTTATCATCAATTATGTCATTTACAAATTAAATTTTGCTGTTATTCAATTTTTGAAATTAAGACATTTACCATTTAAGTTGATATGCTTATTGTCCCATGAATTATCCTTGGAGTTCGGTATTTTTGTTATTTGACTTTTTATCATCGTTGATGTTATTATTCGGTTAAGAAACGTCTTGTGTAGGAACGGATTTAAATAAAAGCACTACCCTTGTTTCGTAACCCCATTTTAATTGTGTATACTTCGTACCTGTTTCTACTAGTTTTTATACACGAAAAATTCATTGTTGTTGCTATTGTAAGTACTTTTCACAGTTGTATTTTCTTCATCATCATTCCTCATAGAGTTTGAATTTAGCGGAGTAGCTGTAGTACTAATAATCACGTCATCTTGTTCAGTGGAGTTCGGCAAGTCAGTTCTTTGATCCATATTGCCTATACAGTTTGTACATATGTTTGTATCATCGTTTTCTTTGTTCCGTGTGATACACATTTGGTGACAAGGTAACGTACATACTTCACAGTTGATAATATCACCGTCTATCTGTAAATCACATATGCAGAAATCCAGTTGTAGCTCTTCATTTAGACTGTCCCTTGCAGAGTGCAAACATTCAATTTATGGAGGTGACTTTAACATCAGATTTGGTGTAATATTGTTACTAACACTGGGTTCTGTACATATTTGACATGTATAGGTATTGTCTCTAGTACTATTTTCTATTTTGTGAATGTCATCCTCGGTTAAATGGCCACATCTATAATGAATCCAGTGTTTTCCATTGGTACAATAAACACCTCTTGTCTGAACGTTTCGTCTGCATTTTATACACTTAATTGAAGTTGTCTCACTGTTTTGTTTAGATATACTTGTATCTTTATGTGTAACAGTAGGGTGGGTATTGATGCTAGAGTCCTGACTGGGGTTTGTTGTGGAGTTCCTCATACTCGATAGTTGTTGTAATTGTTCTTCTAACTGGTTATTGAGTGTTTGTAGACTTACTCGGTTACCATTTAAGACTACATTTTTGATGATATTATGTATATTGGGTAGGTCGGTTTTCATGAACCTATCGGTATCTTTCCCATTGACTAGTAAGCGACAAGTTGTGTAGTATACTGGCAATGTATAGACGTGGGTTTGGTCTATGTACATACTAAATATCATGCTGATAATAAGGCCTTTTTTGTCCTGGTCTTGTACAGTTTTTACAGTAATGTTGTTGTTCTCACTATTGGGTTGTTGATAATAATATATCATGGCATTCTTTAATAATTCAAAGGAAACAGCATCGGCTTCTCCAGTAATACCACACTCCGTGAATTTATAGATAATATTTGCTTGGCGTTTTTTAGCTTGAAGTTTCCGAGCGATTGCCCTGTCTAAATTTAGCTCAAAATCATTGGATCGCAAATTTTGGGTTTGGGGGTTGGTACTTATATGTAATCCCTGGTTGCTAATGCTTGTCATGATGTATCCAGGTTATTAATCACCTTAAATTGGTAGTTGCTTAAAGAATATTGTTTCAGTTATTATTTGTTCACAATTGGTTTTTAATCAGATCTATATTTTAACAGTGTGGCTTGGATATCCCATTCCTTCTGTTTTTAAAGTCTACTTTTCAATTATGATGTTATTAATACCAACAGTCTTTCTGTATTAAGTCTGAAATTTGACCAAGCCAGGCTTTAGCAAGTAATCTTTTTGGATGTATGCTGTCGGAATATAAGTTGCAGTTTAGGTATTTCTCAGTCGGTTTACTTTTCCCTCTTGATCTTTGTCGCCTACTTTGTTAGTGGATTGAGAAGCAGGGAGATTTGGTTCCGAGAGTACTATTCAAATATTTTATGCCGTCGTTAACTTTGACTATTTGTTGTTGTAGCTGTGTTTCCTATTCTGAATATTTATCTATAATATCTGATTGTGTCACCAAGTCGCTATGGTTGTTATTGCTATCCTTGTGATTATTTTGTTATTTGCTGTTGATCTTTGAGGCTATTTTCTGATAATGTTTAATGATGGAATATGGTGGTATTTCAGGTATTGTAATCTTAGAACGTGGATATTTCTTAATAGTATCAGTACACTAGTGAACTTTGTCTAAAATGAGTTGGATAGTATCATCATTTGTAGATGTTATAGAAATGTAACCATTCTTGTCCCTTGTAGTGAGGTTACAAGGACCTGACCATATAAATACACTGATATCACCGACTTTTTGGATCTTGTTGTTTATATTTGTTTTAAGCCACTTTAATTGATCTTGGATAGTTGTGCCTGATTTATACCGCCGGTGTATATTTTTGTCAATTGGATGTTTAACCTGATCTCTTAAGTATGTCCCTTTGCTGTCAGAGATAGTAATTGGCGTTAAATGTTGTGTTCCAGTTAGAGGTTTGCGTGGAATTTGTAAGTATTTTATTAATTTTGCCTTCGTCATGAATGGTTGATATAATATTTTATATTGCTAGACTAAGTGTGCTTTAGTTAATAAGCAGTTGGTTTGTAAAAGCTTAAGCAGTTATCTATGCAGTATAAAAATAAACCGTGCCACTACTAAAATTCTATATAAAAGTATTAGAATGATGGGTCCAAGTTGTTTAGTACTTTCGAGATTAAAAGTTCAAAGTTCGTATGTTAATTGTACAATCAGCAAGCAGCGTGGCTTGGATATCCCATGCCTTCTGCTATTTGATGTACTATTACAGCGTTAAAAATATTTATGATTAATGTTTATCTCAGATAATATGCTAAAATGAATAAAATCTTGTTGTAGATCAATGTGCTAGACTTTTTATTTATACACGGTCCTTCACAGTTTTGGAAATATTCACAGAATGTGTAAAAAATTATAAATAGCGGACGGTGGATTGTTAAATAATATGTTTTTAAGCTTTCCTCCAATAAAAGTTCATAAATATAAGTTGCTAGTAATGTATCATAAAATTTCTTAAAAAGTTTGTTGAATTTTCAAAATGGCTGCCACATGTGGTTCTCTTTCTCGAATAAAAAGTTCTCAATAAAAGGTAAAATTCGTTTCACCGTAGTTCAGGATGAATTATTAGGTTTATGCAGGGTCACTAATGACATAAAAGTATTTTCTGCAATTGTTGTCTGTATATATAAGTTGATAAAAGTTGATTTTCCACCATCATATAAAAACACGTCCGTCACCATGAAACAAGAATTCCGAACCCCAACGTACAGTCAGAAAAAGATGAACACAATCTTCTGTGATATATGACACGGTATCACAAGTCGTTCTTTTCAAATTAATGTCTGTATAATAGGTAACCATGAATAATTCATGATTGACTATTTGAGAGGCTATTATGACAAAGAGCTGACACTATAAGGTTGCCCTATTAATCTATGCACAATTTTTTTAAGTTCGATGACAAGAGAGAAAAATGTATCAGTTGGCTTTCGAAGACCCCTTGTGTCCTGTTTGTTAAACCATTCCCCATATACATTTACAAATGCAATACTATTAGAACAATTCTAAAAATTTGCTTGCAGTAGATAATTTATATAACACACTGAGTAACGTTTCTTCAATGCCCACATATGACACCGGCTACATGCAGAGTTGGATTTAGAGGGTTTTCCAGGGGCGTCTTTTTAGGCAGTCATTGCCTCCCCCCTTTATGAAATTTATGGATCTGCCACTGACATGTATATAATGCACAATGCAGTAATTCTTCTTGAAAAAGTGTGGTCAGTTCTCAAACTATGTAATTGCCGAAAAAGCAGCTCACAAACACTTGTTGTGGTAAGATTAGTTGAGCTTGCCACAAAAATGGTGTTGCAACTATTTCTCGAAATTGATATTTTCGAAAGAAGCAAATTTGCATATCGCAATAATGTCATCATTTGCAAGAATGAGATATTTTTTTCATTGTTTTGGCAATTGACTGAAATTAAAAATTTACAGAAGTTAACATATAAACACATTGTTCTTACACATTGATAGCCTTTCTACCTGCCGTTAGGTTTTAAAGGACGATAACTCTATATTTTACAGGAAGCTGAAATGCGCAATGCAATCACAACCTATTTTCACGAGTCACATACAGTTATCCTGAACGGACCGTAAATCTTCGCTTATTTCCACTATTAATTCTGTTATTAGCATCTATTGTACAGTCATTGTATTGAACAAAATCATTCCTCTCTGTCGCATAATTTATATATAATGCATAGTGATGCACGTTGACTGAATATGAAAGTGCATATGTAGTTGTCTCCCTTAGTAGTACAATCAGTTTCAGAATGTGCATATCTGGCGTCATGATAAAAAGTATTCAATAAATTAATCCAAGCATTATACAACAATAGACATTAAACATTTACTAAAAATAAAATAAAAATGGCTTGAAATAATATTGCCTTAACCTCCATCCGGTTTAAAACTATAAATTTCATATTTCTTTATTTAATGACTTACATGATGCTTATTCAGTTCATATTTGTGAAATTGAATAGATATTGGTATTTTGAATTCATCGGTTAAAGATATTCTTTTATCTTCTAAAGTTTAGTATTTGCATCGTCGCAAATCATTTATAACCTTATTTGATAGACTTAGGCATATACATTTTATATAACTGGTTTGTAATCATTAAAATAGTTGTGTGAAGACTGAAGTTAAGTCCAATAAGATTGAAAAAAGTCCAATAAAAGAAAGCTGTGAATATCCAAAACTTCCATTCATAGTTAGTGCATCTGCCATGTGCCTTCTTACTACGGGTAATTATTGAAGTCATTACTTTGGACTACATTATAAAAGTTGTACTTAGTGACTAAATTGTTTTTGGTTTTCATTTACCTAGATATTTAGATAGCGCTTTTAAGTTTGGCATCCATCATCTCCGTATAAATCAGTTCACAAACTTGACCAAGCTGAGGTTCGCATCCCCGAATCTCCAGCAGAATTGTTCCTGCTGCAGGTACATGCCTTACCACATTATTCTTCTAAAATATGACATGTCACATATTGAGCACATGCATTGCTGCAAGTGTGATGAACTTCCACTTTTTGACATGGTTTTCATAACTGAAATTCAACCATATCAGTGGTTTCATGGTAGTATCTTTGCCCTGACTGTTTATTATTTGGTTCAGTGTGTAAATCTGTTGTGTTAGTGTAGAGTACATGTAGGCTCAAAGTTCATATATCATTAGATTATGTTCTTGCATTTAATAAGCCACTGGGGTTTAAACAATGGTTGATGCATCAGTTCAACTCAATCTGCAGTGTTCTATGCTTTATTTCGCTTTGATTTACATATATAAGTGCTATTGTGCAATACTGTGCTGTTGCACAATACTGTTATATATTTATAGGCTTAATAACGAGTGAGAATGGAATATCGCTTGATAGCAACTCGAGTTATTCAATTTCAATATAATAATAAACGAGCCTTGTC